GTGCAATTGCATGTAAGATAAGATGACAGTTTTAAAATCTAATGCAAGAACAGGGTGGAGAGAGAGGTTGATAACAGAAGCTTTGTTTATCGAATCAACTGCAGACACGTATGTAATAGAAATGAATCAACACCTGTCCACCCAAATATCTAAAAAATCTCTACTACCCCAACGACGACAAATAGGAGAGAACGAAGTAAACTATAAAACTCAAGTTTCGAAGTCATGTGATTCGAATTGATGACATGATTATGAACAATAATGAATTGTGTTCAAAAATGTGTCATCCAGTAAATTATACTGTTTCAGTGACTGTGTGATACATCTGATAAACAAACTAATATGGAATTACTTACTACCACAGTGCCCAAGTTTGGAAAATATATGAAATAAAACTTTGTTCTTGAAGTTGTACACAACTGGATTAGACTGCTTCAGTACAGTACAGTTTTGTGTGACTGAGTTCAAAATATTATTAAAGGGTAAATTCGCAATGGCAAAGTTTGATAAGACCATGTGGGATTGATAGTGTAGACTCTGTAACCGCTGTCAGCACCATCGGTTTTCTTTCAAAATTTGATTTACCAAAACACAAAATATCTCTCATATTTCAGTCAAATAACAGGAAATCAAACTTCTCAGCGTAAGAGTTTCAAGGAAGCTGACGAACTCAGTTAAATATATGAAATGTGTTTATTTAAGTAATTAGTGAGTGAAAGTATCCAGGAGCAAAGTGAGAATGCGAGCACTGGAGTTTAACCCATTATTATATAGTGTTGATTTGGTCTGAGAAATTGACGCTAATGCAGTAGTAGTTTAGCAAGAGAAAGTAATTTGCTGATTAGTGTATCCAAATTCATTGAAGACAGTGACAGAAATGATTTACTGTGGCATCCGCATCTCGCCTATTTAGGTCTACACATACAATTGAAAGTAGAGTGGTAGATAGACAAATTTGGAAAGAGATAATTCTAAAAACGCAGAATACTGGTTTCCTAATTACGGAAATATCTAGACGTTGCTTTGCTTCCATAACATCACCATGATTACGGTTTCATATTCTGAAGCAGTATTATCGACTACCACATTGGATGACGATTCTAAATATGAACTTTTTTGAAATGACACGTAGAAAGACTAAATCCATTGATGAGTTCAGACTTGCTTGTACGGATGGGGTATCAGTTTTCATGCACATTGGGAAACGCGCAAACCCCGTGAGTAAGCGAAAATCATGGAACAGGGATATTTGGATATTATGATTACACCTTAGTCAAGTAGCAGACAAAATGAGGAGTAAATAACACAGTGCGCACATTCTCTATGTCTACAACTTTTGATTACTTCAGACAACTTTCATCCATTTTTTTTATTCAAATGACATTCATCTTTATAGCTGATTTGCCTTAGCACGCCTGAAGTTACTGAGCACTTTGATTGGTGGAGAAGCTGAATCTTAATGTTTTGCTACTTCATAGCTCGATGTGAGCTGATTTTTCTGAAGTGAAATAAACTCACCAAGTCTTACATACTTGAAGATATTTGGCGTTCGAAACACAGGCTGTGATAAAACAACAATACTCACATATATTGGTAAGTAATGTGATAAGTAAACGCTGAGTGTTATGGTTTAATTCTCTTTAACTGAGAGCAAAAACGCTTTATTCTCTCAGGCTACTTTCCCCGGCAGAGAAAATGCTGACTTTGTTATAATAACCTATCAAATCCTTGTAGTGTAGAAACTAGAGTGTAGTCTACTGTTTTCTTTAGTTGTTGCAAAAAGGGGTTTGACACAGAATACACTATCATCCACAATAAAATAATTTAATCAGATGAAACACATATTGATAGAGTGTTGTTTAGAGCTCATTTTATTGATCATAATCATATCAAGATGCTCACACTACTTACAAATTATGCTTATATTATCCCATTATTTCTCCTTCTTTGATTTTATAGGCAGTAGTATTTCCCATATCACTGGTACTGCTACTGCATTATTCTCTAACTGATAGCATACTGTGGTCAGACATAGCATCAACTGAATCCATGAAAGCCAACACTCGATGATAAATTGCATTTGGAACTTAGTCATGTGGTAGATTAAAATGCTTCAACGCATCTTATATCCAACGACCTAATTAATATGGAATTTTGGACTTTTACCCACTAAATTGCACAACTTCCTACGATTTAATTGATCCATTATTTACGATATTCTTACAGGATTCTTCTCCGTGAATTATATTATTATTAGGCACCATATTTGTTTTGTAAAAATCACTCTAATCGGAATTGCAGTTAACTTGACTATTATTTATAACAAGATTGTTGTTTGCTGTTCATAAAGTGATCAATATACAAATATATATATATATATATATATATACTCCATTCGTGAGGATACGAGGGGAATTTTAAACCATTTACAAGAATTCCATATTGGATAAATTTATTTCACAAATCACCAGTTACTGAATAACGTCTCGAGTATAAATTACCACTAACGATCATATGAGCAAGACGTCAGCCATTTCTTTCGCTCGATAACCTGTTTAGGAATTTCTAATTCCTGACTTGAGAGATAGAGAGTCAATTCATGCGGAAATTATTTTACTAGTGAGTTAAATGTGTTATCAGTGGCAAAAAATTCCTGAATTCCGGAAGGTATCCAGAAAACTGTTACCCTCCAAATGAGTTTTATTCGCTAGCAAATAATACTGATCGTCGAGTCCAACAAAACAGCCTATCTCAGTTGTTTTTTCTAATTGTTAAGTTACCAAAAATGTCATCCACTGTCACTTATCGATAACATCCATTTTGATTTGAAACTAGTAACTAGTGTGATGTGTCTAGTTCCCACTTTGGTGCAGACTGATTTCTATCAGTCAGGTTTACAATGTGGCCACCATCGTAGGTAGCTCGCCATCACGGTGCACATCGATTTGATGATATTAGATAGTTGAAGGTAATCGGCAGGGAGCCTTGGCTACACCTAGTTTTCGTACTACTTGGTAGTCACCAGCCAGCAGGGCGTTTCTGCAACCTCCAAGGAACTCATGTCCCTTCTGAGATTCGAACGAAACCTAAGCCAAAGGCTTCCTGCCGATTGCTTTCAACCATCTAATCTCATCAGATAACTTCCATTTTATCAAGATCTATTCACATGACGGTTGAAACATCAAAAATCCCTTTGCTGGAGAAAGTTTTTAAACAAGTGCTTGCCTCTCAATGGTCTTCTATATCACGTGAATTCGGTGAGGATCAAAATTGAATTTTTCAAAGGTTATCTGCCGTTTTATGAATTTTTAAAATATTCTTCAAACCATTTAATAAAAATCACTGCTATGACCTTTATTTTTAATGATAAAAGTTTCTCAAAAAGACTTGCAAAACAACAATAAAACTTGAATGCTGTGGTATAATTTTTATATAGCTCACAGGGATACATTAGTATTTACTTAAAGGCAAAAGACGAAGTGTAGTAGTAACCAAGAAGTAACATAGTCAAGTCCAAGATCTTTCAACGCCAGAGAGAATTTTGCCACATATTTGTATACGCTTGATGGTGATTCTGGAATAGGAAGATAAAGCGACTAGGCAAGCCACTTCTTCCGATGTCTATCATTTCAACTGATCTTGTAGAGCGATTTGCATTGACCCTCACTCTAGAAACTTTATTTGTCACGCTGAAGAACACTTACCGGTCTGGCTAAATAAGGATGTAATTAAGACGATGACCAATTCAATATTAGAAAACCTGGTGCAAACAAACAATAAAGTCGGCCGTGAAGAAACTCTGAATAAACCGCTTGAAGCTACAAGTCATTGAATGCTGTATATAACAGATTTATGTACAAAATTTGAGTGCAAAAGAAACAAGTCTAGTCATTATCTCTGCCTTGACTTATTGTGGAATCTATAAATGCATAAAGACCATAATGCATCATACCTGTCGTGTAAAATCTTCTGTCCGCCTTACTCAATACTGCATGAAAAAATAATTTTTACAGTTAGTATGATCATGAGCAGTAATTTTGCTCGAAACACTACCAAAATAAAAAGAAACTTACTATGGTGTGTAAACTTTTTTTATTCCTTCACGTTCCCAGTGGAAAATAGGGCTTCAAGCTAGTGGCTTGAAGTTTCTGTAGCAGTGTTTATTTTTACAGGATGTGGTTGCTAGCCTCAAGCCCAGCCTTACCTCTTCACCAGCTTTTATTTCTGGCTTAGCGAGGTAAAGGAGTGCGTCGGCCGGGGATCGAACCCCGGACCATGTGCATGGTCGGCGAGCGTCCTAACCGCTGTGCCACCTACTACTGTAATATAATTTGGATTTTAAACTTTATTCTGTATTAATCACTCTACTTAAATCAACAAGACGTAAATTAGAACTTTCATTTCACAATGTTATTAGTAACATATAATTGTTCGCGAACCGTTTTTATTTCTTCACTGACTCATGTTCTTAGTTTCTTAAAAATCAGTTTTTGAGCACTTCAACATATAAAAACCTATATTTTACTCCGTAACATATTTTGACATATAACAAATAGTGTGTAGCAGAAAACCTGTATAAGACAAAGTATGAATTAGAAGTGTTCAAGGGAATAGCCTATGCTCTGATAATTTCTGATAACTTTACAAACTTTCAGTGAGTAAGAGTCACTTTTAACGACCAGTAGAACAAAAAAAAGAAAAGAAAATACTTCAGCATGTATACTTTTTTTTATTTCATGTTCATTTTTACTTGACCTCATTTATATATTGACATTTTTATTGAGTATACTTCGTTGGTAGACGTCAAAACAAGAATTATTCCTGCCAGTTTTTTTTCTTGTTTCAAAGAACATAAGTGATTTATGTTAGTGTTTTTTCTATTTAATTTATATTACATGTTATTGGTTTACAGGCATTTTTTTAAGAGTATAAATTCAATAATATAAAATTAGGAAGGATATTAATGCATAAAACAAACAGTTAATTAAAAACAAAAATAAATGAATTTATGCATCCTTCTACTAACTGTTTCAATTCTCTTTTTCGCTAATGTAAACTGTAGAAGACATTCGGGTAAGACGATTAAATTATTATTCTTAGTTAATGATGTAAATTTATGCACTGGCCAAAACTTTCAGCACAAAGATACACTGATAAATGTAACTGTACTTCGTACTCTATCTACAAGTTCATCATCAGCAGTTTTAGGGTACATATATAGATCGAATCAATGGAATGTTTCAACATCATAGGAAAAAACATGCTCCTAAATGGTCATTGGATCATATAAAAAATTGAATTGTACTTCATACTAATAAAAGTCCAGTAGCATCCACTACAAAGCATTTATACGTGTTTGATCAGAAATCAATATTATTGAATAATTCTCAATTATTTCACACATAACTTTAAGTCAAGGTTATTAAAACGTTACTTATACACACTTTCATTTGCTATAGCTGATTAATTATCAGACATTTTCTTGTGAGCCAAGCTAGCTAGCTGAGAAACATTTCTGAATGAATAATGAAGCGGTATAATTATTTAAACAAATATATATTTCCTAGTCGTCTAAAACTCGCATAAACATTCCGTTTAGTTCCTAGAGGAACATCTGCATTGCGTTCGGTTCTCTACCAACGCTTTCACCTGGCTTCAAGTCTGCCAACATGCTTTCATCTCCTCTTCACATCACCTCCTCCATGTCATCACACCCCGCACTGACGACCAACTCGCCGCTCCCCGTTCGGGGACTGTCTTGTGATGTCTCTTGATGGTTTGTTTTATCAGAGTATAGCCAATTCACGTGCATTTCTTTCTGCACATTAATCGCACAATCGGTTCCTGCTGGGTTGGTTCGCTCTCAGAGATCATTTCTGGCGGTATATACACATATACTTCCTGAAGTAGGTCATATACTCTAAATGTGTTACGTCAAACAACTATCAGATGTCCATAGCCTGAATAAAAATCCATAACATCATCAATACCCCTGAAGATCATTCAGTATATGCACATGATATTACAAATTTTATTTTACTTGATTATACACCCCATGATTATGATTTTCAAAGAATAATTTAATTTGAAATCACTTCATAAACACTATTGACCGTTTTGGTAATATGTGATTGTAACTGAAACCATTCTCTTATTCTGGAAGCATTCTTCATTGAGTTTTAATGAATGACTAAATTGTATAAGTACTTTAGGTTAATTATTGGTAAAGTGTAGGATAGTCTAAGTTTCGTCATCAGCTGATCACCAATGATCAGTGGTAGAGGTAACTTTCACACTTAAATCTGCATATTAAACATCAATATTTCATGTTTGCGTTTTAAACAGAACCTATACTTTCTTGTGAATAACTATGTTTTTTATATCTTTTTAGCAACCCCGACAGAGATATGTAATTTACCACTAAATATAGGACGCGGGCTTGAGAAAAAATCACGATACTATTATAATAAAGCTACTAACCAGTGCAGTGCATTTGCTTACAAAGGATTGAGCGGAAATGCTAACAGATTTCGTACTAAGGATGAATGCGAACGCATGTGTGTAAAACCAAACTTATCGAGAGTTCCGTCCAATGGGGATAGAAGACCAACACTGCCAGTTAGATATCCAGCTGATAGACGACCAATACAAAATGACCGTGATTATGATAACAGGTATCCAACTAGAGCACCATCGAGAGAAAGAACACGTGAACCAACCACTAGAATAGTTTACATTACTAGATCAACTCCAAGATACGGCAGAAGATCATAAACAACTTTTTTCGAGGATGGTTGATTTATTTATACCATGGTATATATCTGCAGTTACAAAATCCGAATAAAATTTTCATTACATTGCAGCATGTTGTCATTTGATCGCTTATAAAAGTTAATCCACGATAATATTGAAGAGGAGTATGAAAAAAGGTTCGATGTGACTGATTTTTTTAAGGTCATTCCCAGGCAATCGATAAAACTATGGATTTCCCTTCATTCTTCTTAAGTATTTTATTTCTAGCTACTTAGAAATGTTTTGCCATAAAGAATATTTGAGGTGGGAATAGAAGCTTTCAGAGTGGGAGATATTTATTGACATACCTCTTGGCCTATCCTTAACGAGTACCATTTAGCTATTACATTTGAACGGTATAATGAATGTTACACTCGGTGTACCCAACTTGACAGCAGACAGCGAACCTCTAAATTTCAAAAGATAAAATAAAACACACCGACATCTGCATCGGAAATTTATGATTATAAAAGGACTTGTCGACTTATAGTACGGAAGTATCAATTCAAAGACTACTAAGAGCATTTATACAGTAGTTTAGACTCACATTTTCTGCCAATTAAAAAGGCGCAATTTTAGGCTGTATTAATCGCTTGAGTCTTTAAATCTAAGTGGATGTGGCGTCATGACAGTATACGCAAAGAACTTTATACTGTCGATAAGTCTGAACCTTCGCGACGTGGTATGTAAATGCCCGCAGTTAGAATCGCTGATGAGTAGGCTACTTGTAAGTAGATCGTTAAACCGAACAATCAGATCTTCTTTGGTTTTAGACGCACAAAAAACATAATGGTGGTTTCAGAGTGTATTTTCGTTGTGGCACCTAAGTCCAAACTGCAACTGTGATCAATGAGGACATCATACATGTACTTCTGAGCGAAAGGAATTATTTCTTAGACTTTTCTTACAAGAGTCGGGCGAAATAGAGAGAAAAAAGCGACTTTTTCTTCACCCAGTAATTTGTCAGTGCTCGGGATTGTAATTCAAGTAAATCATTTGTACTATGTGAAGTTAGACAGTCATCAGAAAAGTTCTTCATGCCATCGTTCGACAAATCAAAATTTAGATTTCTTGCCGTAGAAACATATTGTTTTCGTTTCAGAAATATTCATTAGGGTCGAAAGGAAAACTCATTATTTCACTCTTTTCACACACATAGACTAATATAATCAGTGAATTTGATGAAATTCACACCATTTCCAATTGGTTACTCAGTTGTAGCAAATTTCGACGTCTAGTTGAATACTGGAAACAACGATTTTGTTGCAGTGTGCATTCTGGTCACTGATCGAGGCAACACAACAATATGGAAAAATTTAACTTACTAATAAATTTAAATAATAACCATTCGGAGAAGAAAGTCGCACCTAATTAATTCGCTTATTAATATATGTGTAAAACTTTGGCACTGTGGTAGTAAGTAATTCCATAATAGTTTGTTCATTAAAGGTATCACACGGTGAAACAGTATTATTTACTGGATGACGTTTCCAACAAAATTTATTATTGTTTACAATCATGTCATCAATTATAAACAAACGACTTCGGAACTTGAGTTTTATAGTTTCGCTAGAGGACCGTGTTATTAGATCATAATCCACATAGTCAACTATTCCCATTAGCTTTAGCTTTAATTGCTCAATTTCATATCTGATATGTTGCAACTTTTTAACAATTCTGTTGATCTCTTCTTTGAGGCAGTTCAATTCACTTATGAATTGAAAAGTCAGGAAGAGGAACTCCCAATGTTAGACTATAGAGTAATAAGGATAGAAGATGGAAAGTTAAACACTAGTGTTTACAGGAAACTCACACGCTCAAACAGATTTTTAGACTTCCGATCATCCCATCCTATGTAAGTGAAATGTTTAAATAATAGAGCACAAAACTAAGTAGCACGAAGGAAAATCTAAGACAGGAAGTGAAACATACAAGAGAAGCTTTGAAACTTAAGAATAACCCCGATATATTAGTCAGAAAGTGTGTAGGGGAATGTAAAAATAAAATACATGATGATAGTAGTGATAGTGATAATAATAATGATAATAACAATAATGATAATAATAATAATGACGACATGCATGTCAAACATGAGCAAGACAACACCAACAATTAGGAATCTAAATCATCAGTGGTACTTCCATACAAAGAAGGAACCTCAGAAACCCTACTCAGATTTCTCGACAAGGCAGGCAGTAATAAAAGTGGCTGGCATTCAAATCCACAAACTCAATTAGAAACAAGAATTGTCGGTTAAAGCATCAATCCTGTGGAGCCAATGAAACAAAACGATTTACTTTATCTAGTACCCGCAATCATTGCCAGGTCAAACTAGTAGAACAGGAGCAGTTCGACTAACCGAGCAAAGAAACCTAGCAAAATGTGGATTAGCTGACCCGAATAAGATGAGAAATCTGGAAGACAGTTTAGCTAAAACAAATGCAACTGTAAGATACCATACAATAGGATGGATGGGATAAGATGACACTTTTAAAATCAACTGTAACAGGAATGTGAGTGGGGAAGATTGATAACGGAAGCTTTGTTTATCGAATCAACTGTAAACACGTATAATAGGAATGATCCAAAATCTGTCCAGCCGGACATACGGAAAATTCTACTACCCCTACTACGATAAATCGGAGAGAACAAAGAAGACTATAAAACTGAAGATTTGAAGTAGTGTGTTTATAATTGATGACATGATTATGAAGAATAAATTTTGTTCGAAACTGTGTCATGCAGTACGTAATACTGTTTCAATGACTGTGTGATACATCTAATAAACAAACTAATATGGAATTATTCCGCTTATTTGTCATCACGAATAAAACCTATATAGCTAGATCTCTGATTTCAGTAGACCATCCAGTGAATAAAAATTAGAGGAGAAATGTTAGTTTCCCCAAGAGTAGACAGGCTTTTCTAATCAGTGACAATAGGAATCAGATGTAAAAATAAGTATTCCAGCCTATTTAATTCTTTTAATATGTACGGATCAAAACCTTGGCGGGTCACCAAGAATATTTCCCAAAGGTTGCTGACCTTTATTAACAGCTGTCTTCGTTCTATACTCAAGATCAGATGGCCGGAAAGAATCACAAACAATAAACTATGGGAACAAACAAAACAAGAACCAATCGCCCAACAAATATGCAGGAGAAAGTGGAGATGGATTGGGCACTCACTGAGAAGGCCGCTGGGTGACATCGCGCGTCAGGCCAATGCTCGAGTGGAACCCGAAAGGGAAGCGGCGAGTGGGACGTCCAAGGGTGACATGGATGAGATCGTGTGAAGAGGAGTTGAAACAGCATGGATTAACATGGATACAAGCGAAAAGTACAGCAGAAGACAGAAGCAAGTGGAGACGTGCAGTTGAAGCCCTATGTTCCACTAGGAACCCAAGGGAACAATAATAATATAATAATAACTGGAGTTTTCATATCAGTGGTCCAGTTTACTCATATCTCCTCGTTGCCATGCACAGTCTGACGCATAATCCAGTCCACCACAGTTAAGAACATCATAGGTGATGATAGGCAGCTAGCCTTGTATTACTCCTGTATTCACTTCAAAGGTTTAACTGAATTTTCCCTCGCGGATCACTTGGCAAGTGTCATTGTTATATGGCAGTTGAGCGAGAATGATTAAGATTTGTGCACTGCACACCGTAATGTTGAAGTAGTTTCCAAATTAGTTCTTGGTCAACGCTGTCGAATTCCTTCGCGAAGTCGATGAAGTTGAGGTTGAAGTTTGACTGCCAATCTATGCTCTATTCGATGGCTATGCATAGAGTTACAATTTGATCAGCACATTATTTGCCTTTTCTGAATCAAGCTTGCTCTTGTGATTGACAGGGTTCTGTATCCATTGCATCTTTCATTCTCTCCAGAATGTTGCGATTTAGTACTTTAGTTTTGCATGGACAAGGGCATTATTCCACGCCAGTTCTCGCAGAGTGAGGCCTAGGTAAGCCTTCTTTCTTTACTCCCAAACATTTTACCTCAATAGCGCGAGCACATAAGCACCAGTCTCTGGGTCCGTTTTCAGGGCTTCGAAGAAAATTCAATCTGTCCCTCAGTCTTCCGGGCTGGACTTCAGTAGCTTGATCTCATTTAGTATTTCAATTTTCGTTGGAGTAGTGGTGTCCATTGGAAGTTCCGTGCATGCTGTTGGTGGTGTTTTCGGGAGAGGTGCAGGTGATGATCTACTCAAGAGTCCTTTAAAGTGATCAGCCCATTGTTTTATTTGTTTCACCTCCTTGGTAATCACGTTCCCTTGAACATGTATTATTGGTTTCATCATCTGAGTTGATCTCTTCCGAATAGAGTCCTCTCTGTCTGATACAATGTTCCTAGGTCTCTTTTATCTGATCCCACCTATTCTGCTTCAGTTGCCAGCCAGTTTGTCATGGAATTGTATTTTGTCTTTCCTAGCACTCTTCTTCACACCTTTATTCAATTAAGTGCAGTGTATACTGAACTCAGCTTCTCCTTCTGTTGTGCATCTTTGCATTAAGTCATCTTCTCTTTCAACATCCTCCTCCCCCAGATTAAATTCCCGGTATCCATTAAGAGCCATTCCCTGTCGTATCTCTTCCTAGAACGGTTTAACACGTTTCCTTCAACATCACCCTCAGAGAGTCAGTTCCAATGTTCTTCCGCGAAGGTTCTTCAGTGATACCACGTAGTATATCCGACTTCGCCCTAATATGATCTGCAGTGAAGCCATCCCTTGTAGTTTTGTCGTTCAGTTTCTGAATGTTGAACTTGAATTTTGGTCTGTTTCCAGTTGTTTTGAGGGATTTCAGCTTCCCCTTGAAGGTTGTATGACTTAGATGATGGTCTGAGCTCACATCTGCTTCCCTCCTCAGCTTTGTGTCCACCAGCCTAGCTGCGTCTTCACTTCTCTCAGCAGTACCGAGATGAAGTCTGTCTGGTTTGTGGTATGT